GAGGAAGAGAATTGGATTTGTCAGCAGATCAACCAAATTGTCCACTTGTGTTTCACAAAACAGCACCTGGAGAAGTCTCTTAAGCCTAAAGCACATGATGAGACCAGAAGGCTCCTGACCGTCCCCCCCATGGGCACCCACACATTGGGGCAGAACCAGGATGAAAAACTTCCCTACCTGTTTAGAGCTCTGTGAGACCAGGCCAGTTTGGGCCTGGGTCCTAATCCTAGCACTGGGGTATGTTAGGTCATTTAAAAATTATTATTTACATTGTGATGGACAGAATAACCCTACATATTTCTGAGGTTTGGTGTGACACTGATCACTGGGTGTCCAGTCTTCAAAGGCTTTAGTTATTTCCACTAGACACCTTGACGTGGTTCTCAGATGGGTGCTTTTCTTTACAAAAGTCCTTGTATTTGCTTTGGGCCCAAGAAGATTTATGAAATGAAATAGTCACTAAACACACACCTGTTGATTGGTGACTGAGTGTAGGATTTTGTGAGTGTAGGGTTTCTGAGAGAAAATGATGTCTGTGTTCACAGAAGCCATGAACTAACCCCTCCGAAACCATCCATGGTACTTGTGCATTTCACTCTTTATCAGAGGGAGTTGAAGGACCAGGAAAAGGATACACCTTCCTCCACCCTCTCTCAGAAGCTCCAGAGATTTGCACAGCTAGAGTCCCACTGAATCCCCAAACACAAGAATGTCCAGGGTTAGGTGTCTGATTATGGCTGTTCTGGGTGGTGCTGGGGATTGAACCCACAGCCTGCTGCATACTAAACACACTTTCTTTCACTGAGCTACACCCCTAGACCCTAATGCTGGGGGTCAGGGACGGGGTTGGATAGCACAGTACTCCAGAGAAGCAGAATCAGTGGGGGGTGTGCGTGCGCACATGTGTATACTGAGATTTAAGGCACTGGCCCACATGATTTGGGGTCTTGCTGGGATCACCTGAAGTAGTACCTGTGGAGTTTGTGAGATATGTTATGAATGTCTGTGATAAGCACAGAAGGGGTTGTCTAACACATGCTCTGAGGCTCACTTTCCTTCTGCTGTGGTTTGTGCCCAGGCCCTGATACTCATGGTGAAATTTAATTGCTGTGGGAACAGGGAACAGTGTCAGGAGGTGGGTGTTATGAGGTAAGCTGGTCAGGAGAGCAGCATGTCATTCTCTCCGGAGAGGATTCCTCATCAAAATGATTCAGCCTTCTCTCATATTCTCCTGTGTTGTGTCCTTCTGCCCTTCGACCTTGGGATGACCCAGAAAAAGCCCCTTCCAGATGTGGACCCTTGACTTCCCAGCCTCCAGAAATACAAGAGATAAATCTGTTCTTTATAAACTATACAGTCTGTGGCATTCTGTTAGAGCTTCACAAAACAGACTGGTGCACGCTCACCTATCCGCCTGGTTGTTGAGAAGCCGCTGCGGTATCTTCAGCCAACCTCGGAGGTACCATTGTCCATGAAGTATGCCTGAGTTGGTGGCCAAAGTAGGACTCGTGTATCACCACCCTCAGCAACGATACACTGTAAACTTCTGACGTAAATCACTCACAATCTGGTGGTAGCAGGAACACCAAAGGTTTTGTTCTTTGGAGAATCCAAAGGAATCATCAGCCTCGGAGGGAACATTCTAGACGGGACTGGAAGGGTCCTTGCAAGCACTTAAGTAACATTTCAGTACTCTGAGAGACAGGCCTGCGAAAATGACACAGTGGAATTGCGTGGAATGGAAGTAGTTCTGCTCCTAACATGTGTGGGGCCCACATACCATATGTCTGAATATTCACCAGTTAGGAACGGAGCTGACAATCTTTTGAATAACATGTTTGCGCACATTCCTTCCACCCTGCCAGAGGGGCCTGAGGGGCACCTGGGAGGCCTCGGGTCTGTGGTGTTCTGGGGAGCAGGTGACAGGGTAACAGGCCCTCCTGCATTCCGGCGCCATCTTCCAGCTGCAAATTTCTGGTGTGAGTGTGTACACACAGGCAGTGAATTCCAGGCTTAATTTTTTGAATGTTGTATGAAGCCTTGAGCCATTAGCTCTGGGTTAAAAAAAATGCGCTTGCTTTTTGGCACAACTGGTTAAACCAGGTAGTTTGCCATCAGAGAGAGAGCTGTCCAGCTTCCGGTCTCATCATGGGATCAAGAAGGGAAATATATTTGGAAAGCAAAATAGATTTCATTCAGAAATAATTGAATTCCCTTCTTGAATGATCGATACAAACTGACCAAAGGATATTTGGTTAGAAAAACAGTGCTTGAGATATATAAACCTTCAGCGATATTTCTTTTTAAAGTTAATACCAAGAAGAGATCTAAATAGCCCTGCTACATTCAATGCCGACCCATCAAAAACATGAATTTTGGAGTCGCATTTGCCTAAGAATTTGTGAGAAATACTCATTCCAGGGAGGGGACTAGAAAGTCTGGCGGATAGACAGCAGGAAATATCCTCAGTCACCATCAGTGCCTTACTGGGCCACAGGAAGTGTTTGGAAGAGGCAGCAACTTCTGTGGCCCTGATGTACTTGCTTCTTAATATTTTGCTCTAACAGCTCCTCAGTCTGCCTTTAAAGCTCTTTTTTCCACAATTTATTAAGAATATCACATGACACAATTTTTAGACGTCATAACTTTTGCTGATGTATTTGTATTTTTTCTCATGCCTTCTGTGTGAATAAAATTGGTTTCCTGTGTCAAATGGAATGTACAAAATAACCCTTTCTGTAGCATGAAATACTGCCACCTGCTTTATCTCATCTGACCCTTACAGTTCTCCTGAATTTCCATGTGATTAAAAACAAGAACATTTACTGGATGCATCGTCTCATTTTCTCTTTCCCTGTTATTGTTCCAGTTTTTAGACAAAGGAACGGAATTTTTAGCCAAGTCGAATTTTAGCCACAACTGCTTCTGGACTGTGATCACATGACCGAGTTGGCTATGAGACTCCTACTCTCACAGGTTCCGTTGTGGTTTTAAAGTATCTGCTAAAGCCGGGCGTAGTGGTGCACTCTTGTAATCCCAGCATGCAGGAGGCTGAGGCAGGAGGATCACTGTGAGTTCGAGACCAGTCTGGGCTACATAGTGAGTTCCAGGTCAGTTTCAACTATACAGTGAGACCCTGTATCAAAACCCCCCCGCAAAAAAGTATCTGCTAAAAACATATCCAAGCCAAGTGGAGAGAGGCCAAGAGTATCAGCAGTACTGATTATGCCCTTCCAGGACAGCTTGGTGTGGAGAGCTGGGAGGAAGGCTTCTTAGGAGGGAGGCTGGGGGCCATAGTGACTTCCTGCGGGGCAGGGCATGGGCTCTTCTTATTTCAAGCTAAATAAGAGAAATTTGAAGGGAAACATCCAGAACATTTGACAGTCAACCCTTCCTATCCAACAGATTCTGCATCCACAGAGCCCACCAATTTCAGATAAAAAAATGTTCAGGAAAAATAAACAATTGCATCTGCTCTGAATATGTATATTTTTCTCTGAACAGTGCAGCGCAACAGCTGTTTAAAAAGCGTTTACATTGTATCCAGCATACATCGTAAGGATGCTAAAGGCGACTTAAAGCATGCAGGGCTGCAGCATCCTCAGATTTTGGACTCCAGAGGGAGTCAGGACTCCAGAGGACGGCTGTATATGTCCCGTAGTTTGGAGCACACGCAGCACCAGGTATTTAAAATATGCTTAGAAAAATCCAGACGGAGGGCTTCTAATGATTGGCTTGAGCAATATAAGAGAGAAAGAGGGTTATATTAGAACAATGTGCAGGTGGGTTGCAGGTGTCCCCACAGCCCACCTGTGACCGGCCCAGTCCCTTAAACACTGCCAGAGAGGACAGCTCCAGGGGGCAAGGGGCCCAACAAAGAGGCTCAGGAGGCAGAAGCAACTGCCTAGAGGAAGGCGTTGCCTGCAGGGCTCGCAGAGAGAGTCTGTCACTGTCGTCCTCCCTGCTCTGCTCTGGAAGTGACGCTGCATTCATTCTGGAAGTGGGCTGCTCACTTGGCGCTGAACTAGCAGCAAAGGAAGCTGGGACAGCGGCTTCACTGGGAGAATGCGGCCAGCCCGGGACACCCACAGCAGATTCTTCCTCCATGGGTTCCTCCTTCCCACCCCGTGCTGCAGAGGATTTTGGGAATCCTAGCCAAGAGTGCTGTCTTCCACAACCATATAAAATCTTGATTGCTTCCCACAGCAAATTTTAAAACTCTGAAAGATGGTAGGTTGCCATGTGACCTTGGGTCACGTGATTCTGGTTGATCCTGGTCACTTCTTGCTCACCGAAGCCAATCTCAGAGCCCATTGGGTTCCTCCCAGGTCTGCGTGGTGTCTTCACTCAGGAAGAGTCTGCTTCTTGCTGGACTGGACCGGGGAGGTCCTCACCCCAGTTCTCAGCAGAGGTTTGATGCAAGCTCCTCACAGCTCTGAGTCCTGACTCTTTACCCCCAAGCACCCCATGGCCAATGGCAGCTGCCAGCATTTCTTGCCCTGTTGGCTTCTGCTGGGTCTTCATGGTCCAGAGCTACCAGCCTCGTGTCCTTGCACATAACCTGGGAACATCTGTAGCCAGCCAGCCTCCCACAGGGACATTCAACTGTCTTCCAGTAGAGTATTTTGCATGCCCTGGTCCCTCACATTCCTACTTATTTATAGAGACTTTGTGTTGAG